CTATGATTAGCTTGATTCACATAAGTTGGAATGTCGCTGAGACTAATTCCCACTTGCGAACGCTAGGACAAGCGGGCGAATTGCTTCAAAGACATCTAAGAGCATTAGTATTGTTACGATGTTAGATTGTGAACTCGCTTGTATAAATAGCCAGAGCGCTTCTGCTTCTTTTCGTTCGGTATAGCATGTTGACAATGCTTGTAAAATCAGTTTATAACCTTTAAACACAACTAAACAAGCTCGATCGTGTGCAGTCCAACGTGTTACACTTGGACACACTGGAACTATGGTTTCTAGTTCTCCGTAGATTTCGGAGCATTCCTGCAGCAAATGCATGGCTAGTGTGCGGTACTTAAAAAACTTCCATAGGTTAAGTAAAAAAATATCTACCTCTATAATAGTAGGAAAGTCCTTTAAAATATGTTTAAAACATAACGCAAGTTTATGACTTGTACACCCAACCCAAACACACAGTGGCACAGCATCCTCGATGTAGGCTTTTAAACCTCCTTTTATACCAGAATTAACACTTGTTGTGTCCATACAAGCAAAGCGAGCATTTTTAAATGAGATATTATTAGCTCTAAAAATTTTTTGAATAACATCAAAAACATTTGGAGCTGATAGACTAGAGCCGGTGAGCTTACTTAAAAGAACTAATCCTATAAAATGTTCTTTTACGATGCTGTTGTGTTCAAAAGTGGCATATTTAGTTAACTGTTCAATCGACGTAATATCAGCAGTTTCATCCGAAAAAAAAGAAAAACTACCACCATTTTTAAGTGACTGGAGTAGAGGATTTTTGATAAAATCAAAGATAATATTTATATACTTAGCAATATATTCCGGAGACATGTATGTTGCATTTGCTGGGCTAGACAAAACGTGCGCCTTAACTTCCTTACAACCACACGCAGAAATAAGTTCAATAATGTCGGAAAAATTATGAGTATGTGCCCAGTTTTTAATGATTAACGAATGCGTGACTCGAAAGAAGGTTTTAATAACGAAGCGAGAAGTGCTTGTTTTTGATGTTTCTTTTGCAAGGGTATTTTCACGCAGCATTTTCCACATATTCGAGTCTTGCTTAGACATTTCATCAAAAGCTTGTTTATTTTGTAAAGCTATAGTATGCCTATGCGTATTTAAGTGATCGTTAGCACGCTCCGAGGGGTGATCTGCAAACTTGCCAGGGTTTTCAATAAATGCAAGACTGCTTTTTTTTCCAGGGGCAAACGATATGCAAACTTTACAAAACCAACCTTGTTTTGATGACGAATAAAAAAAATCGGGAAATAACACCTCATACTTTTGTGTTGTTTTGAGTCGTAGGTCTTCTTCATTTTTGATTGGTATTTGTGCTGGTTTGACTTTCTTATTTTTTCTTTTTCCAAGAACTGAAGTTAAAAGAATTGTGTTTTCATTGTTTTCGGTTACTGTTGATGTAGGCTGATGAGGACTTTGGTATACTACTGATGTAGAATGATAAGCACTTTCACTTACTCAGGCCTTGCGATGAATAAGAACTGCGCGACGCAAAAGCACGACGTGATTTTTGACGTCATTAAATTCTTTTTATTTGCTTTTCATATTTATCGACATTAATTGCACCAATTTACTTAATTACCGCAAAACTACTTTAAATCGTTTATGTAGAAATATTATTATTTAAAAATGTTTTGGAATGTTTCGTTTTTTAAAATGTAAAAACATTTGTTTATTTTCTCGACGTTTGTCACGTTTTGTCTATACTAAACGAATAAAAAACATTATAATTTAAATTTAAAAAAGATTATAAAATATGCTAATATTTGATTTTTTTTTTCTTAAATATGTAATTTAAAGTTTTTCAAATAATTATTTTTTCTTTTTAAAAAGTCAGCGAGTAATAAACTGAAAATTTTATAGCTAATATTTTTACAAGCGATTTTATATAATATTTATTTATTTATTTTTATTTATTTTCAAAAAGCGGTTGATAAGCACAATCACTCGTATTAATAAAAAACTTAAACGAACGTTTTGAATAATTTTTAATGTTAACAAGGAATTTTATTTCTAGTAAAATAAAATAAAATGTTAGAATAAAAATCTTATAGGTATAAAAGAAATATTTCAGCGAAAAAATTGTTCTTAAAAATTATTATTAAAAATTATTCGAAAAACTATTGACGTTCTATTTTTCAGCAGCTGTTTTTGAGCACGCTTCGTTGAGTTTCGGTAACTTTTAACATAAAAGCGATCGTTATTATTTAAGTAATTTTTTTGAGTTACTTTTTACAAAAATTTTAATAACTGTACTTTTTTATTGAATCAAGTAGAATACGTTTTAATATTTTTATTTTTTTATTTGCCCTCACCAATTTTTAAAATAATTCCTCGAAATTACTCTTAAATACTTTAAATACATCTAACAGTTAATAAATATTTTTAAATCTATGGAATAATTTTAAAACCTAACAAACCCCCGTAAAATAATTATTTAAGTTTAAAATCTAAAACTAAAAGAAAGTATTTTTGTTCAATTTTATCGACAACTTTGCTATTGCTGAATAATTTTAATTAAATGTTAGCTTAAAAGATTTAAACTTTTTTTTTAATTTTTGAATTTTTTCTACTTGTAAATAATGAGCATATTTAATTTTTTTAAATTCAAACTTTTATTTCAACTGCGTGCGGTTTTTAAAATACTTTATTAAATGTTAAAATAATCGTAAATTACTTCATTAAAATTCCGCTCAAAAATATCTTTAAATATACTCAAACAAAAAATTTTTTGCTCGACGCAAATAGCCCTAGCTACACGCAAAATTGCTCTTGGACGACGTAAAATTCACATCGCCCGACGCTTTATCGCAAGGCCTGCTTACTGCTAATGCAGACTGAGGAGGTTTTTGCCTCAATACTGATGTAGACTGATAAGTACATTCATTAACTGCTGATATAGACCAATGAGGACTTTCGCTTACTACTGATGTAGACTGATGATAACTTTGCTTACTACTAATAGACGGATAAGGACTTTCACTTACTATTGATGTAGATTGATGAGGACTTTCACTTACTATTGATGTACATTGTTGACTATAGTTTTGCACACTTGTTTCTTTATGTTTCTCAAATAACTTTACAATAGTTTTTGATTGAATTTTTTTATATTTCTTTTTAAAATAGTATTTTCCATTATTTGAAGGCATTTTGTTGCCGCTTTTATTTTATTGACTTGAATCTAAATTACTAATAGAACGTCAAACTCATTCAAGAATATTAAGGTCTTTGAAGCGAAACGTTTTTCAATAGAATTTTTTCAAATAGAACGTTAAAAATTAAAAAGTTTTCGTCGTTAAAAAAGTTTTTGTTGCTTTAGACAAATAGAACGCCAATGTCTTTTGAGTGAATTTTTTGTAATCGAATAGAATTTCTATGGAATAAAAAGTTATTGATAAGAAATTTCACTGCTTCATGGTATTTTAAAATTAAATTCAATAAACAACTAACGCCGGGGAAGATTTGTTGATCGCGCAAGTAAATATTTAGCTATAAATTTAGCTAAAGTGGTAACTTTAGTATGTGCAATTTAATAAAAATTGATTTTTGTATTTGTAAATTTTGTTTTACTAAACTAAACTTCTTTTATTTGTTTATTAAAAATTTTGATTTGTAAATTTAAAAAAAAATTGGTAAAAATTGCAAATCTTGAAAACATTTATAAGCACAAATGATTTGTTAACTTAATATTAAAATGCTTACACTAAAATGCGTCACAAGCAAATATAGCTTACTTAATAAATAACTTTTTTTATCTTTTTTTAAAAGTAATTTCGAAATGTAAATTTTAAAAATGTAAAATTTTAAAAGAAATTTCGAAATGACACTATGCTAATTTCTTTGTTACTTTTCCAACTAAAGATAAACAGCATGTGTTATTTTAAAATTATTTATTGTAAACAAAAAGTTTGAATAAAAAAAGCGAACAAAAAAGCTACGTTTTAGGCAAAAAGAAAACAAGACGTCAGTTAAAAAATAAAGTTTTAACTTCATTTTTGAATGAATGACTTGCAACGCTATTTTTTATTTTATAAAGAAAGTAATTGTTCTCAATGGACTGAATCATTTACTTCGTTTCGTGTACTTTCTTATTTTCTTCGTTTCGTAGTATTTCTACAAGTCTTGCGTAACTCTCTAAATCTAAGCTTATTAATAACAATTTGGGAAATTTTAAAAAATTGGGAATTCCACGTTATACGCGGTGCTATCAGGCTGCATAGCCTCTGTGACCAGCACACCACTGTAAACAAATCACAAAGAAACACAGAGTTATATACAAAAATCGTTTTTAATGATAAATTTTTTTTTTAAATTTCATGAAATGAAAAAAAAATTAAATATAAAAGCCTTAATTATGCAAACTCATTTGTTAACTATTTTTTAAAAAAGCTTTTTTTAAAACTTCTACGCAATACTTTAATCGTGCAAACTTAAAAAAATACTAAAATAAAACATAAGTATATATAATAATTTGAATTGTATCTTTTATAATAAAGGTTTGTTAAAATATGTTCATTAAAAATTAAATTTCTTTACTTATAAAAAAACGCAAAAGTATTTTCATTCTATGAATAATTACAAAACTCTTTTTTTTTTTTGTAAGCAATTTAGTTTAGAATAATAAAATAAAAAAAGAATAAATAGGTGGTAATCTTTGTTAAGAACAAATTTAATTTATTTATTGAACAATATTTTTATTTTTCATTATATACCAACCTAAATAAAATATACCAACATGTTAAAATATTTTAAAATGACTAGTATCATTTTTTTTTTAAATACTTTCTAGGAAACTTTTAGTTTTGTCCAAGTATAACACAAGATGAAGTAAACACAGTAATCGCAAACTTTTTAAAAAATTTAACAAACAAATTTATTTCTTTATTAATTGTTTTTTAATCAATTTCTAACAACTAATGTATAAAATATATTTGTATTTTATTTATAATTACCAATAGTAAGATCATGAACAGGTTGAAATCTTTTATCTGTAAATTGAAGAAGTAAACATGATTTACCAACACCTAAAGAAAGTTTTATACTTATAGAAAAAGTTTCGAAATATGGTAACTTTAGAAATTTGATAAACACTCTAAAATTAAAATAATTAATATATACAATGTGATGCCAAAGTGTTGTAAAAGCCATAAAAAAAATTTAAACCTAAAGAGAACTAAAGAAATTTTTTCTCATTATTCACCACCCTAAAATAAAAAGACCACATTTTTTTTTAAAAAACTATTTGTGTTATAATATATATATCAAGTTTTTTAGGAGAGGTGTGCAGTCCTGTACCGTATATGAGCACACAATATCTTTTTACAACTTGACCACAGTTTTTTGTATATTTTTTAGTTATTTGCGCATTCAAAAAATCACTGAAAAACAAACAAACAATAAATAGAAAAAAGAAACAAACTTAACAAATGATGAAATAATTAAAGGATAAACGAGAAAAAATAAAAGCATAAAAGTAATATATTTTTTAATTTCAAACCTAACAATTAATTTAAAAACATTTTAATTAATAGTTTAAAAAGTTAACAGATTTTACTAAATTACAACATTAATACAGTGCTAACGTTGATTTATTGTTAAATTTGAGTTGCTTCTGTTAATTTGACATTAAATAAAGGTTCAAATTCTGAAAAACAGATAATTTTTTTAATGCTTTGTTTTTTTAGACATTAGAAAATACGTCTCAAATTTTCAAATAACTAAGCTTCAAAGTATTTAAGCTTGGATTAAATAAGTTTGAAACTTATCTTAACTATTTATAGTAAAACATTTTTTAATTAAAATAAAAACATGAATTAATTTTATGCTTTTATATTTTCTGGTTTTTATTATTTTATCATTTGTTAAAATATTTATTTTTTTAGTTCAGTTTTATACTTTTTATTTCTTAATCTAGTTTACAGTTTCTTTATTTTTAATTGATTTATTCAGCACATTTTTAATATGCTTTTTAAAAGATGCAAAGAGATGTTACCAAATTGTGAAAAAAAAAAAAAAAAAAAAAAAATGGTAGCACACTTTCCCAAAAAAGGCTTGTATATAAAGAGCTTTCAAAAAAATTAATAGGGGAAGTAAAATTTTGTTGCTTAAAGCAACAAAATTTTACTTTAAACTACCGTAAAATAAAAACTAAAGAAGATACTCTTTAATTTTTATTAAAAAAAAATATTTCTTAAACAAATCTTGCATATTGAATATCATACTAAAACATAAAATTGTATATAAAAACATTAACATAATAACAAAAAATATCAATAAAAACCTGCAATATATAAAAAATTGAAGCAACAAAAAAAACATCTAAGCTAGTATTAAAAATTTTTCTAGGCTATCAATGGATCATATTAGCACTTTGACTAATTCTTTGTGCATCCAAGCCCAAATAGTTTTGATTGAATTCAAATCTAGTGATTGAGCTGGGCTAGGGCATAAAATTTACTTTATTTTCTTTTATCTATGCTTTTACTGTACGAGATGTATGGTTAAATATAAATGTAGCACACTTCTACACCATTAAAATTAAAACAACCCAAAATACCAACACTGCCACTGCCACTTTGCAACCTTGGTACAACAAAGCGATTACTATACTTTTCCAATTTAAATCTTTTAATAAGAACTTTGCTTTCTTTATTTATAACTTCAAAGTTACTTTTATCACTCAAAACTACTTGCTTCCACTTCTTTAAAACCGCCTAATTATCTCCTTACATCTGCTAAATCTTTGGTCATCAACAAAAGTTTTCTAACAGCTGCATAGACATCAATTTAAAGACATCAAGAAAAATGTTTCTAATTGTATTTGATAAAATACTTTTTTCGTGGTTTTCATTAAATGCGCCGGTGAGTTCACAATAACTTAACATCAGATAAACATTTACTTGACAAAATATAAGACTATTTTAGCGTTAAGTAGTTCTTATTTAACCTTCAATGTTATTAATTTAGCAGATTGTTCTTCAAAGTTGTCATTGAGATGACAACTTTTAGGAACAATACTCTAATGTCATCCATAAATACAGTAAGCTTTAACCACCAGTGATCTATCTTGTGAATGAAAAGCTAAAAGAATGAGATAAGCTCTCAACATGTAGATGAATATATTCTTCAAATTTCAGGTTCCTATCACTGGTAACTCTAAGGTTTTCAATATTCTTAACATGAGCAAGGTTATGGTTCCTTGTACAATAAACACAATAAGTTTAGTTTTGATTCTGATTAGCAATTATACAAACAAAACATCATTTAGTTGCTATTTGGAGTTGCAAAGTACAACTTTAAATAGCAAAATTCAACCATTCATACAAATAATTAATGCTACAGATTGTACAGTCATGAAGAATTTCTAGAACATTAGTACAAGTACTGCATTTACAAATAAAACTATGTAAATAATTTATCAGTTATAATTTATCTAATATACAACAACAAATAGATGTCAAAGATATAATTCCATATTTATTTTGGTCAATTGTTGATTCCAGTTTTAAAAAGTTATCATACTTAAATGGTTTAAAGAAACAGCTAAACTATAGCCATATTGCTTTAGTAGAACATTTGGCAAATTATTTATATCAAACATCATTGTTTATTAATTTATCAACATAACGAGGATAGTGTAGTGATTAATGATAAACACTAACACACAATTACAGGCTTGGACAGGAATGGCGTGCGATCACACTCTGTAACTGACCACGCTAATAGTTTTTTTTCTTTACAACTTGACATACACAGTCATTTTGATGTTTTAACAATTTAAATGCAATTAAAAGTGTTACATTATGAACAACTTTTAATCGTTGATTTTTTCTGTAGTTTTTATTCTACACAAAGGCTTTAAAATAATTTTATTATTTTTTTAATGATTGTTTACATAAACATGTGTGTAAATTAATAAAAAATGTTATATATAAATTTTTTTTATGTAGGCATGTATTTTTCATGATAAATCGAAATGTTTGAAACTATTTTCCCATGTTGTCTTTTAAAGCATATATTTTAGAAAGATTTTTTTTTAATAAGTTACTTTAGTTTATTAATAAGTTTAAAACCTTTTGCGACTACTAGCTTTTACACATTTTATGTGAATTATACAAGAATATGAAATAACTTTATATACTTATTTAAGAATGTATTCTGTTGATTAATGGAAGAGTTTTGAAACTTTTTGTAATGTTAATGTGATTAATTTTTATAATTAAACTTACGATTATTTAAAATCATAAGTTTTAAACAAAGATTTTATTTTTTGAATTTTTTTTTTTTTTTTTTTTTTATTATTATGATAAGAATGAATGAGTTGAAATCATGTATAATAATTTTTAAATTTGTTATGTGAAGCGCTTATTAATATAGTTGTAATGCTCAAAATAAAATTAAATTGCTTGTTGGCAGTTTATTTTATTTAAATTGCAGGCGAATTTTATTATTATTTTTTTTCCTATTTTTACGAATAAAAGAGTTAAAAGTCTTTTTTCTAACTAGACATTAATTAGAGCATAAAATTTATTAAAATTATTTATAAAATTTATAAAAATAATTATAAAATTTATTAAAAATTATTATTTTAAAAAGATGTTATTTAAAAAAAAATTAAAAATTTTTTTCATTTTTTAAAAAAATAAATGTTCATACAGTTTAAAAATATTAAAAACAACACTTTTTAATAAATTTAATAAAATTTGTTCATTTATTAAACAATCATTAGTAGTAATTTTTTTACTTAATTTAAAAGCGTTTTGCTAAACTTTATTCAAACATTTAAAAAATTTAATTTAAATTGTGATTAAAAATGTAACAAAAAGTTTCGCTTCGAGTTTAAGTTTTTATTTTCATTTTAGTGCTTAAATAATTTCTTTTTAATAAAGATTTTTTTTTGTTTCTTTTTTGCTTAGGATTTTTTTTTCCTTACTTTTTTTTTTTTAACTTTTTTCATATTAAAACATATAAACAATCGTGGTCAAGTTGTCAAAAAATAAAATCATTTGCATGGTTAGCAATAGCGCTCGATCGCACACCATTCCTGTCCAAACCTGAGTTACATATTTTATAATGATGTTGTTTAGTATAGAATTAAAGGTGTGCAAACTATATTTAAAATTTAAAGCACATTAAATAAAACATATTTGAAAGTTAATACTATTGATTTCAGAAATGGATAATATTGAATATGCATGGATAGCTTTGTAATCAACTCGCATATTTGTTGTGAAATCAGCTTTAAAACCATTCTTTAATTTCCTACTAATTAGCACCTCTTCATTTAACTACCTATCTTTAATACTTTCTAACTATTTATCTTTAATACTTTCCTTCTTTCCATGACTGTACTCTATTTTCGTCCCAGTATGGAATACTGTTGTCATATTTGGGCTGGTTCTTCTAACGATTCACTTTCTCTTCTTGACAAGGTCCAAAAACACATTGTAAATGTTGTTGGACCTGGACTATCTGCTAAGCTTGAACCTCTTTCCCATCGTCATAAAGTTGCATCTCTTTCTCTTTTCTACAAATACTATCATGGTCACTGCTCAAAGGAGTTATCATCTCTAGTTCCATCAACTAAAATTCATTCTCGTTTTACTCGTCATTCAGCTAAGTCTCATTCGTTTACTGTATCTGTCCCTGCATGCTCTAAAAACTTTTATTTATCTAGTTTTTTTCCCCGCATTTTAATCCTTTGGAACTCTCTCCCATCTTCATGTTTTCCTGACTCATACAACCTTCAACTTTTCAAGTCTTCTGTCAACCGTTTCCTTGCTCTATAACTCTGTTCTTTTTTTTTTCCTAGTAACTCCCAACTTGATAGTGGTTGCTTGCAGCCTTGTTGGGAGTGAATGCAAATAAAAAAAAAAAAAAAATTGATGTCATTTCTAATCAAACTCAAATTTTTGATTATTGAATCATTCCTTTCTAACTATTATTCCTAATTTTCTAGTGATTGTTGAATCATTCCTTTCTAACTGAATTATTAAAGTTGGTTTCAAAAGTTTTGGGGTGCCACAAGGTTTCATTCTTGCCCTGCATTATTTTAATCTATATTAACTATCTTCCTAATAATATAACATCTAAAGTTCTATTTGCTGTTGACACAACTATATACTTAACTCTAAACAAAAATTAATTACTTTTTGATGACTTTGGAAGACAACTTTATATTTAATTTCTATTCTGTGACAGCTTAGTGGACTTGAAATGGCTAGTGAACTTTAACCCAAACCAAACTCAGTTATTTACAGCTAATTATTGTACTATATTGTTGATATTTCTATATATCGATGAATAACACTCTAACTGAGCCATTTACTTTATGACACCTTATCATTTACTGATCTCTTATGGAAACCTTAAATACAATCAATTGCAAAGTTAGTATCTGCTAAGGTTGCCTCATTTCATTGAGCTTGCTTTTTTTTTCTTTTTTTTCATTTACTGATCTCTTATGGAAACCTTAAATACAATCAATTGCAAAGTTAGTATCTGCTAAGGTTGCCTCATTTCATTGAGCTTGCTTTTTTTTTCTTTTGATTTTTCCTCTATCTTAACAAATCTCTCTCTATTATTACTGTATGGAAGACTTTTGTCTTCCATATTCATATTTGTATATATATATATATATATATATATATATATATATATATATATATATATATATATATATATATATATATATATATATATATATATATATATATCATATTTGTTCTACTAATGATGTCCATTTCTTTTTAAACAAGCTCCAAAGATTTAGTTGGGTACTCTAGCTACTAAAATTGAGTCAAACCTTAATCTTCTATATCATATAGCAAAGTAGCATCCTTTTACTTTTCAATCTTACACATTAATACTTTGGAATAATCTACCATATTCCATACTTAAAACCAACTGAAAACTTATGGTATCCTCGCAGTCGGAAATACGTCATAATATTTGCCGCGAACATCTACCATTTTAGTTAAGGGAAAATAAACTTTCGTTATGAAACAAAAACAATGGCATGACATTAAAGTCTTTAAAATGCACAAGTCTTCACAATTTTAAATGCACAAATGTCTTCAGGTGATTTTTGATATATATATATATATATATATATATATATATATATATATATATATATATATATATATATATATATAAATTAGTAGAAAATCACTTAGCAAAACTTATATATATATATATATATATATATATATATATATATATATATATATATATATATATATATATATATATATATATATATATATATATATATATATATATGTTTTGTAAGATAGTTTTGTTATTTTCAGTCAACTCTAATGACTAAGATGGTTTTGTTGTTTTAAACTCACAAGCCAGACAACTTGTGTTTTCAAAACAACAAAACTAGAGCCTAATGTCTTGTGAAAAACTTCTGCATCTAGCCAAAGCCAAAATATTTATAAGCATCTAATGCTTCCTAATTATCTATAGCCTCAAAAGAAAATATTGTAGGACTTTTTATTAAATATTTATAAACGTCATGGTATTGAACTCATGGCCATTCAGCTTGATCATCTTTCCAAGTATTTGCAAGAAACTTGTGTAGACATCGGTTGATTCCAAGGATTACAAATATATTTATATACTTTTATGCGGCGTTAAAATATAATTTTTTAAAGTATTCGTAAACCGATATTTCTTTTTTTAAAATCTTTAAATCACTTTTTTGTACTAATTTTCCTGCTTTATCAACACAATTTATCATTTATTTTCACCCATCCAAGATGGTAGCAACGCTATTGTTATTTTTCATAACCACTTGAGGATGTATAAAAAGAATCATAAAAGTAGAGAATTTAAAAAATTTGCCTTTATTTTTCAAATAGAATATTTATTTTAAACAAAAATGATCTTTACGTGATTTGAGGCATTAAAAACAAAACATTTTGAGGCTTTAAAAATAAAAAAGAATAATTTTGCTTTAAAAATAAAAAAAATTTGAAAAATAAAATTCTGATAAAAAATAGTTACATGAAATATACAAATATTAAATATACAAATGTTAAAGTAGAACAAAGGTAGAATGTCATGCGAAAACAAAACAAACTATTTAAAAAGAGATCACAAACATTTATAAAAAAAAATTTCACGAGTTAATGTTTATTCATTTTTCAATTTTATTTATTTTAACCTATCTAATAAAATTGTATGACAATTTTTTTTCCTACCACAAATGTAAATTTTACTAAAAGTTACATTATTTGTGCTAATTATTTGAGTTATTATTGATATTTTATGATATATATATTGATATATTATTGATAATTATTTGAGCTAAAAGTTTTAGCTCATATACTAAAAATAGTAATAAAAAAATAAACAAAAAATAGACATAAATTTTTGCATTATTTAAAAAAAATGTTGCGTCTTTATCTAATTAACATTGTTACAAATTTATTATAGGTGGCAGAGAGCCCTTTGAAAGCAAATTTTTTTAAAATTTGATGAGCATTAATTGTTCATACTAAGCTAAATATTTTTATTGTTTTAATAATCAATTTTTATAGTAAAAAGTAGATTCAGTAAAAATGATATTTTTAGTATTTTTCTCTTATAAGTTACAATTTTATGATTTTATTTAGATTATTTTTAATATGTTAGCCAATATCACTTTCATAAAACTTTACATATTTAAATTTTATATGATTTTACTGCATTATCCAAACTTGAAACCTAACAAAAAAATACTATCTCACCTGTATCACCTATTATAATGTACTTAAATAAATATGCATACGACATTTTTTATTGCTTATTTTGAGATAATCGAAAATAAATGATACGAAAATTTCTGTGATTATCAAATAAATTGTAAAATTTACTCTTTCAACTTGATCATATTTGAGCATGCGCAAATGAATGAAAAACGTCATTTGTGATGGAGCGCCATTTACTGCAAAACTCTTGACTGCGTTAGCGTTAAAAAAAAAGTTTGTGTAAAACATAATAGATATTTTTTTACAAAACAATGATTTTTAGGCAAATTAGTGGCCTGAGGAACAATAACATTTTGAAAATTTTATAACTGAACATAATCGTTGCTACCTAACGATTTTGTTCAGTTATAATATCTGATTATCCAACGATTCAAAACGACCTATAAATTTGCAAACGTTTGTATGACTTACAATAACTGTCACTTATATATTGCTCTCTAAAAAAATAATTATGTTGCTTTTATTTATTTTATTCAGTAAATGAATTTTTTTAGTTAAGCTTTAACTTATTAGTTATTTCCTTTTGATTATTGTTTAATACAAGTTTTATTATTTTTTACTCGAATTTCAATTATATAATTGCACATGAGAAATAACTGATACTAGTCATTTTTATGTCCAGAAATTGGCATAAAAATGATTGGTTTATTTTGGAAAATGAAAAGGGTTTTAAAAATTTAATTAAAAAAAAAAATCATAAAATCTACATTCGCAGAATATTTTATTACTGATTTAGCAGTTACTATATGTTTACTATATGTTCTTTATTCACTATATGTATTTTTAAATATTATATCTTTTTTTTTGACTAATTGAGGGTGTTTTTACTTTTAATTGATACATCTTCTTTTTTCTCTATTTTTATTCTTAAATATTATATCTTCTTTTTTACTATTTCTTTTTTTTTCCTAATTTTTCTACTTGATTTATTAACCATATATTATCATATATTATTGTTATGATCTGTAGGGGCTCTATGAAAAGATTAGGTTGGTATTTTGCCATCCATATCTTCTTTGAGCCCCTGACTTATTACTTGTACATTTGTAATTATATTTTATTTTTGGTGAAAGGAAATTGTAATTTATATAAACAGCAAAACTTTTAACTTTGTTTAATTAAATAATCATTGTTAATTAACCCTTAAACCACTGAAATAGAAATAACTTGAATCTTGTCATGAGAATTTGGTTCTAACATGATTTTAACCTGACAGGCATGAATATGAAGTCCATTATTTATATAATCTTTATCTGAAAGCGCCAGGTGAAAAAAATGGATGACCGTCTCTAGGCGGTCTTAGTGGGTTAGGCTGAAAAAAAAATTAAATAAATGCATAATTTATGTAAAACAAATGTTTTTATTCAATTTTAATGCTCAAAACATGAAAAAAAGTTTAGATAATACATTTAGATGATACATTAATACATTTAGATGACAGTCTTAAAATTTTTTTTTGCTTTGGACATGTGGATATTACACAGCACATGTGGATATTACATTTAATGCAAAATGTGTGTGTGTGTCAGATTTTTTGCAATATTTGCACAATTTTTTTGATCCCCATTCAGGAAAATGATCAAATCTTACACTTGCTACTGGATGAGCTGCTTTTCTACCGACATAATTGATATTAGTTGGTTGTATAGCAGATGGACGGCCAACTGAACGTTTTTCAAGAAAAACACAGAGTTCTTTAGCAATGCTTACGCGAAATTCCTTCATGGTCATGTCTTTTATTTTATCATCACTATCTGCAGATTTATTCTTTTTAGCATTAAGTCTTTTATACAAAATAAATGCATTTGTTACAGTCATGTCCAAAAAATAGAGCTGTACCAAATTTCGGCTCTGGCTCCTGCTCCGGCCGAAATCCGGTCATTTTTACAAATCCGGCCCAAATCCGGCTCCGGTAAAGTGTTACCAAATTCGGCATAATTTTGGCTGGATTTCTGAATTTTGGTCAGATTTTTGAAATTTGGTCAATCTTTTTTGCCCATGATAACATGTATACTTAATTTTTTTATTTTTACAAATCAATGTTTTTAGTAATTCTATAGTCTATGGACTTCATGTTTGTTTTGGTATCTGTGCTTTTCTTTACAATTTAATTAGCTAAGCCTAATTTCAAACAACAACGCAACAAAAAATTTTGAAAGGAAGACACACGATATTCTGCAATAATGCAGGTGTAAAGACTATGAAGTCAATCCTAATCAAGTCATTGGATGAGCGTTTTAAAGGGATTGAGGAGAAACCTTTTTATATAGTGGTGACACTGGTTGATCCATAATTTCAAACTAAACTCTTCTCATTACAGACAACACTGGCAGGTAAAAAAGCAAGATTGAAGTCAATCTGAGCATGCTGAGCAGCAGATTGACAAAACTAAAGAAAATTTTGCAAAAAAAGCCCGGCTCAATACTTCTTATAAATTATCATCATTACAATGGCAATATATAAAGATGAAATTATTCAGTCTACGTCCGCTTGTGGCACAGCACACGAACAACAATTACCGAAAGGCATTGACACTCAGCTAAGCCAATATCTGAAAGAATCAAAAATATATAGACACGCTAATTCACTGTTGTGGCGGAGTGACAACATCCCGGAAAAAAAAGTTCTATAGAATTTCTCTAAATTTTTGAAACATATGGCCTATAGAAACTCTATAGAACTTATATAAAATGTCTATTAAGTTCTATAGAAGTTGCTATAAAACTTTTTAACAACAAAAATGAAGTTTAATAAAAAATAACTGTCACTTGGTATTATGAATAGTCAACATTGTTGTCGATTTTTAGCACCAAGTAGGGATGTACAGGATTTTGGCTCCTGTAGTTTTGCTTTGACATCCGGCTCCGGCTCTGATTCCGGCCGGATCTGTTAATAGAAATCCGGCAAATCCGGCTCCGGCCGGATTTGGAAAAATTAAATCCGGTACAGCCCTACCAGAAAATGATAGAAGATTGCGATATCCTGAGTTTTAATTTTGAGTCCATTGCGACCCAAATAAGAGTCCATTAAATCGACACCACTCATATGTGCGTTGTATTCTCTGATAATTTGTGGACAATCAATTTCATCATATGAACTTTTTTTTTAATGTATCAAGCTATTTTTGATGATTGACTTGATGTCAAGACCATAAGCCGATCCAACAAATTCAATTAAATAACCCCGCGGAGCTTTTTTCAGTTCTTCATTTTTGTCATTAGGAAGTTTGCACTTGGGAATACGATTTGCTCTCATATATACGCCACGTGCACTTAGATACACCATAATATAATACATGATTAGCAAAATTTGGTATTGTTTGTGACAACCTAATAACAACATTTCCTGTTGCTCGAATGTTTGGTGTAATAGGTAGAACTATGTTATCATTTTTGGCTGCGGTATATATTTCAAAACGGTATTAGTATCCATTGCTGTCACACAAAACAAAGAGCTTTGCGTCCCACTTATGAGATTTGTCACGTCAATACTGACGTAAATGATGAACTATTTTTGTGGAACACATTTGTTCATCAATTAATAATCGAGTATTTTTTGGAATTGAATCAAAGCGCTCAAGCAAATGTGTTGCCACTTTTCTGATCCAAAAAATTGGATTATAACCTGTATCATCTTTTTTGACTCGTAACGGTAAACTGACATAAAAATCAAAACTCCGATGTATCGGCGAATTCCATATTTGTCAATTTTGAATTTTGTGTTCAAGTTTTTTGTAAATGCAGCTCGATGCGTTTCCAAACTATACAATTTTACCAGATCGTCCATTAAAAAATAGTTAAAAAAATCTAATTGTGATTACAGTTTTTTTACTAATGGTGGTAGGTCTGTACTTCCTCTAAATGCTACTTCATTGACATGCAGTTGCATACACTTTTTACGCTAAACAATTTGTTTGAACTCATCTGAGTTTTTGTGAATATTTACCAAGCTAGCTCCTGTGAACCCACCAGCAGATGGTGTTACAAGTGGTCCTGAAACCTCTACACATGGTAATGGTAATCGAGCTCTTTTCTTTAACTTGAATGACGTTTTTATTGCAACTTCACTCTGTGGTGTTGACATAGTAGCTTTTGTTTGTAGTTCGTGAAGTGCTGGAATAGCATCTTCATTTTGCAGTGTCGTACTCATATCTTTGTTTGAAGTTACAGTTTGTTTTGGTTCATCAGTTTCACTCAAATTGAAATTGCTAGCATTTATTGAAAAATGAAGTGCATTTGTAAGCGTTGAGAAATCCATTAGTTACAAACAGCTGTTTATTATGGTACTATGTTTAGGTTGAAGCTCATCAAACTGATAATCTGGATCATTAAAAAATGTTATCAAAATCCAGTAGTTGGAAATTATTGTTTATTATTGTGTTAGTTTCAGGTTAAAGCTTATCACAATTATAATCTGGATCTTCGAAACTGAGTTCAAAATCTTCACATTCATCATCAGTTTCAGCTGAGTTCATAAAATTTACAATTTCTTCATCACCCATCGCAGAGAGATTAAACTTTTTTTTTCCATCGTTTTGTTGTGGCATTTTCTAAAATCAAAAATATGGAAAAAAAGTACAAAAAAAAAAATTAAAATAAAATATAAATATATGTAGGTAGAATAAGAGGAACTTTTTATAGCCAAACCACTAACCACAGTGGTCTACAGACCACTGTGGTTAACACTAACACAATGGTCTACAGACCACTGTGGTTAACACTAACACAGTGGTCTACAGTGGTTTTGCTATAAAAATTTCTTCTTATTTTACCTACATATATTTATATTTATTTTAATTTTTTTCCATATTTTTGATTTTAGAAAATGCCACAACAAAACAATGGAAAAAAAAAGTTTAATCTCTCTGCAATGAGTGATGAAGAAATTGTTTTCTTTCTACTGTGTAGAAGGTGTTCCTTCTACAGTGTAGAAGGTGTTTCCTTCTACAGTGTAGGTTTCCTCCTATAGTATAGAAGGTATTTCCTTCTATTTTCCTTCTACAGATAGTGTTTTCTTCTACAGTGTAGAAGGAACAATTCATTTTACAGTCTGTAGAAGGTGTTCATAAAATACTCGTTTTAAATTAAAAAAAACAAACTTTTTTATTTACAAAACAAAAAACAAATTATTAAAATATAAGATCAAACAATTTACCACAAAAAATCTCAAGTCAATTGAGCTGTTTGAATATATTATTTTTATAATTTGAATTTGTACTGCAATCACAAATAATTTTGACGGCTGTTTACTAAAAATTCTCAACAAGAATAACCAAAACAATCAAACTACGCGCCAGAACATGGTCAAACTTGTTGAAATTTTTACGAAATTTTACAGACTAAAAATGGCCTTAGTGGTTAAAACCGATTTTTTATTTAATTTGAATAGTATTACATTTTAGTGATGACCGTCTGTAGACGGTCTTAATGGTTTAAGGGTTGAAACATTGTTAGTACAAAATTGCTTGCAATATTTTTAAAAAAAATTAAAGAGGTAAAAAAAAAAAAGAAGCATTCTAAATCAAGGTGCACAGGAACATCCTCTAAGACCTTGCAACACATCCTCAGAATTTTGTTTTATTTATTATCAGAAGACCTTACTTTAAAAATGTAAAAAACAACTTCTCTCACCGGGGGCCTAAAGAGAAATTCAGATTTATGAACATAAAAAGTTTAAAATTCCGAAAATATACCCCTGAAATAACTTTGAACGGCCGTAATTTTAAGACTAGGAAATTTTTTTTCATGAAACTTGAAATCTGTCGATGAATTTTGTCCTAGTTTAATATAACACACAAAAAAATTAAAAATTGAAAAATTTCTTTAAGGAACCATACACTAGGTGGGACATTTAAAAAAAATTTGAAAAATTTCTTTAAGGAACCATACACTAAGTGGGGTATTAGGGGTCCATTAAGGTAAGTTATAATTATTTTATCGCCGTAAAACAATATTTATGTTTTGCATGTCATATACCAAGAAAATATGTTAAAAAGTTTTTCATAAGAGGTTAATATTATATTACTTTTTACAAACTTCCTGCAAATTGAAAGCTACTTTAAAAGTATTTGTAATTGTAAGCAACAACTGGGTTTTTTAGCGCTTCAATATAGTTTGGTCTGTATTCTCAAACTTTTCTTATTCACCAAAACTGATTGAAATCCTGGTGAATGTATTCGAGAGCTTGCTTGGTTCAGTCACCTAAGCCTACAGAATATAAAATGCACAAAATAAGTTTTAGTCTATTTAATGAATAACCGTCGTAGTTTATGCAAGTTCAAACTTGCATAATTTGTTGTATTATTTTAATTGTATTTAACTTAATTACTATTATTATAATTAAATAGTATTATTTTATTCTTTTGTCAAACTTAAAATTTATTTATCATACCGAAGACTCCATCCTTCATGTCAATGAAATCGATAATATGTTGCTCAACTATGTGTATCTTCAAAGGAATTGTAGCCCTTAGATTTCAGTAGCTCGTAAAGAACTGCTCTATATTTTTGACATAAGTAGAGGTTAATGATTTTCCAAAGCAACCATGGAATACTTTTTCAAAATCTCTTAGTATTTGGGTAAGCTCTATTTTTTTTAAATTTAACTTTTAATAAAAGAGGGTTGAGCAACATTTGAGAACGTTTTCTACATTTTGCACCATCAGATATAAATTGGTCGTATAATCTGCACAAAGATTCTAAAGAATAATGATCAGCTTTTTGAAAGTTATGATAATGTCTAATCTAAGGAAGAAATGTTATCCAAAATTATCCACAGATTATGGTAGTTTGTGTTCAATAAAGGCAAAATGGCTAGTATAATATTTTTATGTACACTTGTATCATTGAAATCTTTGCATATCCGTCACACTTTTTAAATTTATTTATGATTTTATTATTTTCTAACTCTGGTTTTAGGGTGATTGATAGAGTAACTTTTAGGAATCCCTGCTTCCATCTACACCTAATTTAATATCAACATCATTTGTTTTTTTTCATTTATCATGTCTGTGATGAAGCATCGTTGCTACAAGCTTTTTAACGTTATTGCAATACACCATAGGAGTATTTATTTCTACCAACTATTTATGAATAAAAATGCAAAATGAATTATACAGATTGCATTCTAGCTATTTTTAAAAAATTTAAGTATTAGATTACTTACCTCTTTGATTCTATTTATTTCTAATAACAATGGGAATTTATCGCAATTGAATAATTTTCTGATCAGCTGGTTCTCTGAGTCAGTTAAATATGGAAACCAGATTCCACACTTTTCCGTCCTCTTTCACTTTTCAGAAACTGTGCAATTTTAATCATATTGCGATTACTTAGAAGTTATAACAACTATTTAAAAAATTGGCTTTAAATTTATAAGTAAATTATTGAAAAAAAATTTTATGCATCAAAACCTTATCTGGCATGTACTTTTAGTTAAAATTTGTTCAATTTATCCAAAGAAAGAAAGGTTTTTTAACCTCAGTCTTTCGACACCGACAACAAGTTGCTTTGAACCAAAAGTTTTCATAGTTAAAGTGTTGCCTGATTTATCTTTGGTCAAGCCTTAATTAGAACTTGACAGAATTTTTCCATGCCATGTAGGGAATGTTTATCTTACAATGGCCGTTAAATTCTTTTGTCTTTCTAACTTCGTACATGGATGTGGAATTTCTTGTGACACTTAAACATAGCAACCTGGACAAATAAGTCTTTTAGCAGGTGTATTTGAAACGTCATCGGTACCTTTACAAACAGGTTTTCCCGAAACACATTCAACCATAAAGACCAATACTTTATTATTATGTATTCAGGTCTAAATTTCATAGCGTATGTCTAGTAACTATTGTTCCCATAATAATGTAACTAAATTTTAACTAAAGTAAATTATATATAAATATCTATATTTTACCTTCATAACACGCTCGCATAATGAAGTATAGGTCAGTCCTAGCAAACTTTTTTCTACATTTTGAGCAAAGCGTAATAGGAAGGTTTAAGTAATTAGCTGAAAATATTTCCAGAATATTCTTTTGATAAGGTTTAAATAGTCTTTTTTCTTTTTATTTAGATTTATATATGTTATTTCGTAATTATTTATAGGTCTTAAATTCTTGCGTTTCCTGAAACAGCAAATGCAAAACATTTTAACAAAAATCAACATGTTCTTTTGCATGGTATGGCATTTTAAATGAATGTTTCAAATAAAAACTTCTGATGTCCATTTATAATATTGGCAATATATATCAGTCCAATTAATAAAAGTTCAGTTTAATTACAAAAAGCATGATTTCAGCTCAAAATTCAATGTTTGTAAGGAGTTATTATTTTAATTATTAACAATTATCAACGGCTAGCCATTGCTAGTTGTTAATATTTGAAATAGTAGTTGCAATAACTAAATTCTAATAATAGTAATAAGTGAGATAAAAATAGTAATAAGTAATTATTAAAATTAATAGTTCAGTTTGCAATTTCACTTTTGAAACTCGAAATAGTTCAGTTTGCAATTTCACTTTTGAAACTCGAAATAATGCTCACGGGCATGTTTTTTTTAATGCAATTTTGTGGTGTTAGAGAAGATCCCAAACCACCCTCTCTGAGGGTAGTGTGGATAAATTTTTAACTTTTTTAGCCCCTTTTTTAAACAAAATTTAGCTTTTTTTCGCAATTTTAATTTGGCAACACTGACCTTCAGGGTATGGTTCCTATAAAAAAATTCCAAATCTCTTTTTGTATTGTATTAAAGTAAATTAAAATTTATTGACAGATTTCAAATTTCATCAAAAAATAATTCCTAGTTTAAAAGTTACGGCCGTTCAAAGTTATTATAGGGGTAAATTTATAGAAATTTACCCCTGAAATAACTTTGAATGGCGGTAACATAAATCTTAAGGTGGTATCTAGTCATTATTTTGGTAAAAAATGAAAGAAAAAATGAAAAATTTGAAAAAATATTATTTAGACAAATATTATTTAGACCTTGTAGAATTCAATAGCAAAAAAACTTTTTCCAAAATAATTTTAGAATATCAATAATATTCTTTTCAAACATTTGATGTGAGTCGTGTACATGATTTATAATTTTAAAACTGATTTTTCTCAATTTGTATTTTTTTCAAGAGCAGCTGTAGGAAAACAATGATATCTCAATAAAAAGACTTATTTTAGCTTAATAACTAATGAGCAAATCCTTAAAATTATTTTAGTCTCAAATTTTAAGAATTTGCTCATTATTAGTGGCTGAACCTAAAATAAAATTAAAAAAAATAAATAAACTTTACCTCCAATTACTATATCAAATAAGTTTTTTTTATCGCTAAAAATAGTTTTTTATATTATAAAGTCTGCCATTTTTGATCGTTTAAAATTTTAAGATTTTTGATTCAGACACAAGCTACACTAATATATTAGCGTTTTGCAAAATTTTAATCCCTGATATTGATGTAATCTTAACATATTTAAGTTCTTAGGACGTTAACTTTTTCACCTTTTTTTGATTTTATCACCGGTTGTAGTACACACTATTAGTATATTCTGTTAGACAAAATTTCCTTAAAAAGTGAATAAAAGTTTTCTTAAACATTTATTACGGCTCCTTGGCTCCGAAGCGGCTTTTCGGCTCACTCAATTACTTGAATGCAGCTCGTGTGTCAAAAGCCTAATTAATGCTTGGCAGGGAAAATAACAATTTATTTTTTGGTCTTGCTTCTTCTTTATGTAAAAATATTTTTAACTTTTATATAATAATAATTTACCTTATCACATCAAAAAAAGAAATTTAATATTTAATATAATATTTAAAAATGAATAATTCAAAACGTCAAGCTGATAGAACATCAAACGACATGAAAAAAACAATTTTTTACAAGCTTTGCTATTAGTTTGCTATTGGATACAAACCTGATTCTGCTTGCATACATTTTTAATTTTTATTACAATTTGACAATATTAACATACTTTGTTGAAAAAAAAGAAATAAAGTTTCAAAAATGAAAATTTTTTAACTCTTTTAAAAGTTAATTTAAAATGGTGGTACACAAAACATATATTTTGCTATTAATACAATGCTTAAATTATGCAACTATTAGTAAGTAGTTTTTTTTGAACTTATATTGGTATTTATTAAACTTATATAAATAAATTTATTGTTAATAACTATAACAATAACTATAATAAAAATAATGATGATAATAACTATAATAATTATAAGGTCTATAGTAGTTAAAAAAACTCCAAATTTTCTATGCCATCTCTTTCAATTACTTTTAACTGCTACTCTTATTTATCTACTGGTCTTATTTAAACTCACTTACTCTTGGTCCGTCGAACTCACTTACTCTTGGTCCGTCGAAGCAGATTATAATGCTCTTAAGTGAGCTGAACTTATCTTTGCAGGCCTTGGTATATGGCACCTATATGAAAATTAGCCGGAAGAGGATAAGCCATAATACCTAACTCAATGATGAAGAGCACCTATTGCTTTGTAGAATAAAATTTAACAATGTTGATTTAAGTTTGCATTAGGTATCATCATTCTTTATCAGGGTTGTTGCAAGAATGGAACTTGTTGGATTTTTGACAGGGCGCAAGTGCACAACGGCCTAAAAGTATTTTTTGTTAACTTTAAGTTTTATTAAAATAAATTTACTAGAAATTTATTATTTTTAAAATAAACTTTATTTAAAATATTACTTGATAAACTCACGCTCACAGGATGTCAGCAGTTCAGTATGTAAACAAAACAGCATTATTCAAATATTTAAAAAGGAGTATAAATCTTTGTACCTAAAAAGAACTCTCAAGTTCTCTTTATGCTAGGCAGTGCTAGCGACTGAACCTTATAGTTTATTCTGCTGAATCTTCTGTAGAAGAAAAGAACTATTTTAGCCGGGTTCAGTAGCTTTGCAATCGTTTCTGTGGAAGTAAAATTTTTTAACACAGATTGATGCTGATCAATTGAAGTTTTATGGTAAAAATGGATTTGTTATTTGAATTCATCAGCTTGACAATTTTCTAGTTTAAAGCTCTTTAACATCTCGTTAGATCATTAGATAAAGGTAATAAAAACTCTGATTAAGAATGCAATTTTCTTGGTCTAAATTTGTTTATAAGACACATTTAACTTTGGTCTAGCACGCCATAGTTTTTAGAATAGAATTCGATTTCAGTTGTTTTCAGATTTTTGTTTTCAGTTTACTTTTTAGGTTAGATTTTGTCGAAGAGGAGAGTCAAAAGAAGACGAGAAAGAGGAAAATTTTTCACTGAGAAGACAGAAGCAAAACTTATTTCCAATAAAACAGTTTAATTTGAGTGAGGTCAACATTGTTCTTCAATTGCGTCACTGAAGTTGGTGTCATCAGTGCGGTAAACTTTTGGTATCACCATTCTTAACTTTCAGTAACAGAGCCAACAATACCGGTGTCGAGTTTCAGAACAAAAAAAAAAGTTCCTAGGAAAAACCTTTAGACCGTTAATACGAGACAAAAGATTTTTGCGTTAAGTAGAGAAAAACAGAGTTAATAATAAAGAATATCAATAAATCAAAATCTAAAAACTATTGGTTAGGCCAAACGCAAAAATAAATTAATAGAATCATGGGCAGTTCTGTCATATTTGCATTTTTTATCATTTCGCCGTCACCCTTCTGGTCAAGTCATATTGGTAATATCCACTTCGGCCCGCACTCCTTAGTGTCACTCCTGCCGCACTTAATCCTCTAATTCAAAAGATATAATAATAATTTTAAGCTGCATAAAATACGAGTAATATTTTCTCAATTCTATATTTCCCAGAATCTAATAGTCGACTGAACTGAAGTTGGGAGGAAATTAAAAACGAAGTAGAGAAGAAGAAACTTATTAAAAAGATCCATCAGGATACTCTGTACCGCGCTAATTGAATGAAATTTAACACAAAGGTCTATAGCGTCTTTATTCTTTTGTTTTGCTGCGCATTTTAAACCGAAAATCTGTTTTCATCGCCAAAGATGAGCAATTTTATTAAGACAATGCTAAGATCTACAATGAACCTCAATCGGCCCAACTAGTAACTATTTAGTAAGTATTTAGTAACATACCTATTTTGACAAATCTTTCAAAATATATTAACATACAAGTATTTAAATAAAGATGACTACTTTATCAATTATGTTTTGAAAGTTATGAAAACTTGCAATTAAAATGAAAAAATATATACATATATACTTGAAAAAAAACAAACAACATCAAACAAAGCAAAAAACTGGAGCTAAGCTTTGCCTAATGTTTGAAAGAGGGTAAAGAAATAATTATCAAACTTTTAACGTTGACGTAGAAAGCAAAATAGCAGTATTTTTTAATGAACTGTTTGAATTTAGGTAAATAAGTATACTAAAGTATGATTTCAAAATAAAAATAAAAAAAACGGAAACCACTTTCAAAATAAATTACCAATACATTAAAAAACAATAACAACAACAATATTTTAACCAAGTAATGATAGTTGTAGTCAAAAAACATAAAAAAAAAAAAAAGAAACTCAAACTATAATTTATAACAATCGTAAAAAAAAAAAAAATTTGCACATTCATGAAGAAAATCCATTATGGAAATACAAACAAATCTCAAAAGATACTAGAATTCCAATATTATTACTATTGGAAGGGTTATAAAACGATATAAGAAGAACTTTATCCATCGAACGAGCTAAAGGATCAGCAAGAAAAACTTTTTTTTGTCAATAAGTTAGTGATAGATAAAATTTGTTGTTCTTTTGAAAAACATCCAAACTTGTCTAACACAGAAAGAGCAAAGAAGTACAAAATTTCAATTTTTTTTGTAAACAAAGTGAAGAAATGCTACAATAACAAGTCTTCCGATCAATTAAATACTCAAATTGTTATGTCAAATACGATTCCACTGCTAAAACAAAACAAAACTGCCCGAAAACTTTACACCCATGTTTTGACAATGGTTTAATGGTTGCATTTTAATGACAACGAGACTTACATAAAATGTGACTTCCTAATTAAATGTCAACTTCCTGATACAAACATTATACTTCAATTGTTCGTGGCATTTAAAGCAACAAGTATAAATACAAACTTGTGGAAAAGTATGGCAAAAAATTGTTTTTATGGTTAGCAATTAGTAGTTGTGGAAAAAAAGTAGAGGTTTTGTGATGTCATCAATTTTGACATTGCACGGTAGACCTTTTTGATTTTAGCCTAGTTTTATACCACTGCGCTAAAAAAACTTTAGAGTCGTATAAATTGATAAAGGTAAATTTTGTTCCAAAAAAGCTCAATTCACCAAAGTATTAATAACTCCAGATAATTAAAAAATATTGTCGTATTGGCAAAGGATATTTGCGTTAAACAGGCTTGAATATTCAGAACAAGAATTACATTGTTAACCGTCAGTAAAAAAATGACAGTAACAATTGTACAGAAATTAATCATGATGATGATAATGATGATGATGGTTTAAATTATAAACAAATTTCATATAATGGAATCATAACCATCACCAGTAATATACGACTATTTTATAGAAGCAAAGAAAAGTTTTGAAACTAATAGTATTTTTATACTCTATAATTTCTTAACTTTAAACAAAAATTAAAGAAATTTGTTAAACTGTCATTTTAATTATTTTTAAAAAGATTTTCCTTTTTTCATTTTTTTCGATCTCATGCTTTAATATCAGTTTGTGTATGATTGTTGAAAGTTGTTGTCGTAATCTTGAAAGTTTATTTCAAGATTACGACAACAGTTGTCGTAATCTTGAAATAAACTTTCCAATTGATGGTTTAGTTTGTTTAAAAATCTCAAATTTATTGCGATTAGATTGTTTACAAAATCATTTTTTGATCTATTAGATCTGATGGAATGCTAGTGAAACCCCCGCCATCAGAAACGGTCGCAGCGGGCTTAATCATTGTAGTTTATATATTTTTTAACTCTATCTAATTGATCATGATTTATTTCTGAACTAACGACGGCTATAATGTTTTTTTCTTGTTTTAAAATTTCTTCAAATTATTTCATGTATTCACTTAACATCTACTACAACATTTTTAAAATGTCATCCCAAATAATTACCATAATTCAATTTTTATAATTGATAAAACCTTATTACAAAGTAACTAAAAAACTTCAAAATATTTTTTTTTTGGTTGCTTATAACGCTTTATGACAGAAAGTTCTTATTTTAATCTCAATTAATCAAAGTCATAATCATGCACGGATCCATGATTTTGTAAATATGTGGCCAAATCTGGTTTTGCGGACGGCACGAAGAGCTAAATAAGTGATGGGGCGGAAGGCGGAGCACAATCGTCCATTCTTAAAAAAAGTCTTTTATATCTAAAATTTTCTTAAAAAAAAAAAAGAGAGAAAAAAAGTGATGCGTGCCCCCTGGCCCCCGGTGTCGTCGACCCTGAAGTGCCTTAAACAAAAAAATAAAAAAACCTCAATTTTTTACATTTGCCAACTTTAAAATGTAAAAATTTGCTGACTATATTTAAAATTGCCAGATACAATTTAATATTGTCATTTGAGGAAGAAGAGGTGACATCATCCTATTTCCCTCCCCCTGTTTAAGTTACTTTACTTTTGTTTTTTCTGTTTTTAGTTATCTATTTAATATTAAAGTTATTTAAAATGTTGCTTTGGCTATTTAGTTCATAAATTAGACAAAATACTTGTCTAACTCATTTAACAAAGTGCACCAACAAGAAGGTAAGCCATAGGATTTTGCACTCCATCAGTAAACTGTCGTGTTGTCAAAGGTTAGCCCTCCATTTCTGGATTCTTTCCTTATCTTGATAGGCAATTTAAGTAGATTATTAGTAATATTGCCTAAAGTTAGCCCTCCATTTCTGGATTATTTCTGTTTTTTGATAGGCAGTTTATCTAAAGTGTTAGTAATGTTATTTGAGGTTAGCCCTCCATTTCTGGATTCTTTTTTTTTTTTTTATTCTGATAGGCAGTTATGCACAAATATTTTTAAAACATTTCATAATTTTTTTTACTTTTATTTTTTAATAAATTTTAATGAAAAAATAAATAAGGCAAAATATAATACAACAAATAAAGTAACAACTAAA